TGGAACACCTGCACAGACCCCAGATTGCTCCAAGCTAAGCACAGCGACTACAGGGTCGTTTTCGCTTTCGGCTTGGCATCCTCGATGCAAGGGTGTCAATCGGGGCTTCAAGCTCGCCCTGCCTCGGACACTAGCACAGGTGGGAGAGCTGATGCTTCCACATCCTTCGCCTGGGCTTCACTGCTTTGACCCAAAGGGTTGCACTGTTCCCACCAGGTGGCATTTAGGATCATTTAAGATCGTGCGACATCAAGGCTGTCTGCGTGGCCTCTGGGGTCTGAGGCTTAGGAAAGATTGCATTTTCCTGGGCGGTGGCAAGGTAGTAGATTAATTAGGATGTTTTGAATTTTGAGGCGTCGGACGCCGCGCTGCTCCCACGTAGCACAGCAGCGCAGCCGCACCCGGCCACAAACTTGATGCTCAAAACGCCAGAAAAGCCCAAAACTGAGCAGATTCCGAGGTACATCCGACTCTCGCCCAGCGAGCTGGGCCAATGCGTGCTGCAAGTTCGCGTTCTCGAAGCGCAGTCGGGAGTACTCCTCTGCAGGAAATGGGTGTTACAGGTTCCTAAATGGCGCTAAGGCTATGTTGTTTCTATGCTCGTGGGTTCGTGCTTCGTCTATGCATGAGAGGCTTTCTTTTGGTCCTCTGAGAGCGACGCCACATTCTGGAAAAACTGCGAGGCGTGATCCTCGCCCGCCATGGCACTGGCCGAGCGAAAGCGCGCGCAGCGCGCGAAGAGCAGGTCAGTCGCCAGCCGAACTCCGAGAGACCCAAAAAAAAGAAGACCACCCCGCCCAAACAGCCGAGCAACGGCCCTGGATGGCCACGATTGTCAGAAGTTTCCTCGACAAATCTGAAGTTGCTGCTCCTGAACTTGGGACCCTCCAAGCAAGTGTGTGTTAAGGTTTCAGAGCATCCTTAGCACTCGAACCGAAACTCCAAAGGACCACAGCTCTCACAGCAGCCTCGAAAGTGTAGGACAAGGACACCCGACGAACTCTAGTACGCTTTTTGCAACACGAGGACGCCGGCGATCGCTTTCGGATCTCGGAGCACAAGCCAACTTTGGCCGAACCCCTCGTCAGCTCACCTAGCAGGCCCTTCCGATTCCTGTAGGTGAGAGTTCTATCGACTGCTGGGGGCTTGGAAGTGGTCCAAGAAAGGCTGCCTTGGACTAAATTCGACCACTCCCAAAACCCCTTCGGAGTGCATGCAACCTCGGCTGTTTCACCAAAGGCCCTAAACGTGTGAACGGGCCATGTGGGGAAGGCCGCAAACGCGGGACCCCAGCACGTCCAAAATGTGCCTGGTCTTACGATGGTCCCGACTCTGGGCCCTCACATTGCCCATTAAAAGTGACACGTCACTAGCTTCGAAAGCGCTTGGCGTCGGGGTTTAAGTTGAAGGAGTGAAGGGAGTGAAGGGTGCCCAGACTGGTGGGGAAGAGACAGGGGATGCTCAGCGCACGTGCTCTTGAGGCAGCCAACGGTGCGCCAGCCTCCTGCAACTGAGAAACTAGAAGCTCTTCTTCTGGGTGTGACGTTTGTGCTAAAGCAAGTTGAGAGTAAGCTCTGACATCATTGATGCGCGGCAACTGCAGGCGGATCTTTCAAGGCAGCTGACAGCGGACTGGACCACACCGGCATGCAGGCATCTGAAAAGTCAGGACTCTCCTGCAACCTGACTTCACTCGTCATCAGCCGAGTGCAAGTCAGCTGGCCTTCGCTTCAGGAGTCTTCCCTAGGTCCCAGTCTCTATTTGTAAACACCAGCTCAGCCCACTCTACGGAACCCAGAAGTTGATTACATGTTAGGGAAGGGTTCTCTTATGTTCTCTTGAAATTTGTACAACGAACAGCCCACAGGCACACGTGTCACAACGTGGCAACTTCCAAAACTACCCGCTGATTGAATAGCTCTTGACCTCCCACTTCGTACTGAGCCCTCGGCTTCTCAATTCTCGGTCTCAAGAAGTTCAGGTACAGGCTTTTGAAGGGCCTGGCATGGCCCCGCGCAAGCTGGTTGTGTACACTTACAGAGCAACGCGACATCACCCGACTCGCCAGCACCCCAAACTTGCCCCAAACTCCTTGAAATCCCTGCTTCCGAGCGAAATCAAAGCATGTCAGGCGCCGCCATGGAAGGCACCAAACTGGCGGGGCAATCTCGTATGGTCACTCGGGCAGAAGTTCGAATTGCTCAGAGACGTTAACGCCCTTCAGCTTAGACTTTACGGCTTCGGGCTTGTGTTTGCCGGGTTTTGCGTTTCAGGGACGCAGACTGCCTAGGCATGGCGAAGAGAAGGCCTTTCGATCAAAAGACTTTCACGAAGCTTGTCGGGAATTGCAACTGCGGTGCTGGTAGCGCCGCGACTTTGAACAGCCCCGCCACCAGCCAGTGCACCCTGAAACCCCTGCAAAACAAACGCTTACTTCAGCTCGGGATTCTTGGGGCTCCTAAGACGCTTCGTCACCAAAAAGCCCTTGGGAGGTCGGTTCAGGTTTGATCGAAGCTGAGTGCCAAGCCGACGTAGTCGTACTCCTTCGACAGAGATGTGACAAAAGAACGATGCCCTTTATGGGTTACTACGAGGTTACTTTAAGGCTCGCTATCAGGGATTTGGGTTCGATTGGAAGCGAAACGGACTGTCCCGTCAAGCGAAAGCATACCTGGAACTATGCAGAACTCGTTGAAAGGGGTTTGGGCAAATACTGGACAAGCGCATACAAGCGCACTGGGCGCCTCTCGAATTTAATTGAAAGATGCATGAAGGGCACCAACCGCCCTGCGACTCGGCAAGTATCTTGGCATGCCGAAGGGCTTGCATAGCTATCTGCTTTGGTAGGCGGTCCAAGCGAGCTCGGGCACTGTTGTCCAGAAACATCCGGGGAGTTTTCTCCAGGAGTCCGAGTCGGGTCCCGCCAACACTGTTTCCGTCCATTCCCCCAGTGGGATCTTGCACTTCATGACAAGGGCCCTCAACTTGTTCCTCGTTGCAACCATCTCGGACATGTCTTCGGAATGCATCTGCGTCAGCATGGCTGCCTGCTCCTGAAGTTCCGCCACACGCGTCTTTACCGACTGTGCTGGTTCTTCCATCAGGCAAGTGCCCTCATTTGCCTCGGGGCCACGGGCTGAGCGATCTCCTGAGGAATGGAGTCCCCGCAATCGCTGCACTGGGCAAGTGCTCTGAGAGCTTTGCATGATGGGCACGCGGTGCACGACGAATGGAGGTGGCACTTCAAAGGCTTGAAAGTGACCCCTGCATACGTCTGCAGGGACCCAAACCAGGCAGGTGGGACACACGAAGGGGCTGCCAATGCCAGTGCACGGAGCCTCTCTGAATCACTGGCTGTGCATTGCTTTTGCAGCATCGGCAGTGGGGCCCCACTGCATGCCCTGCACTTCACTGCCACCCAAAACCCGATGATACCCTCATAGCAAGGCAACAACGATCCGAGGGCAACCCTTCAACACCCGTATAGTGTCCCTATGTTTACATTGCGATTGCAAGCGTCCTTCCACTTGTACTTCTTCGTGGAATAGCCTGCTGCTACCCTGGTCTTCTGATACCTGTGCTCAGGCTGTTGATCTTAATCTGCTTGAAGAGACCGGGAATGACCGGGTTGGGGCGCTTCGGGGGCGGTTGTCGAAACATTTATGAAGCGGCGTCACAAGCGTACCACATCCAAGCAACTGCTGTTTCCATCTCTGAGCCCGCAGATATGACATGAGGACAGTACCATGGGGCAAACACTGACTACCACAAGGAGCAGCTTTCGTCGTCGTTTGTCTCCAGTAAACTCGCATTCATCGGATTAGCTTTCCAAAAAGGCGAGATTCCGCTTTGGGGATCCATGATCCAATCACACCCCTCTGATCACACGTCGAATCGAAGCTTAGATCGGGGCTCGTGGATGAGTATCGCAAACCACGTGTTCACGAAGATCAGCCTGCACAGTTTCTTTCAGGATGTGTTGTGGGGCGGAGCTCGCAAAACTCTTCCTTATTATTGGGTGAAGGGGGGATGGCACAGCTCATAGGCTCAAACTTCTAGCCGACCTTCCGCCTTACCCTGCTCAGCCAGATCACATCAATTGCAATGCAGTCACTGGGCATGAGCTGCGACATGAGATGCTGGTACAAGTGAATGGATATGTATGTATGTACAGATTATATACAGATATACATAAACACAGACACATCCATGTATGTATATCCGCATGTTTACATGTATGTGACCACGTTCTTACGCCTGCATGTATGTGCGCATGCATGTGTGTGTGTGTGTATATATGTTAAGTACTTAAGCAGACCGCCCTCTGTTCACAGGATCTTGCGCCTCGTGGCATAGTACAGGACAACATTGAAGCTGAGCCTCAACACATCGTTTCCCAGTCTGTCTTTTCTAAAGGTCCATGTGCGTTGGGCAGTGGAGCCTGACTGACAGGCAACTAACCAAGTAACTAAGCCTGCTAGCATGCCGCGGTGTGGTCAATGATTCATTGTTTCCTAGTCTCAGCTTTGCAGTGGCTCCGTCCTTCTTGCGGCTGTTCCTTGGGTTATTGTAGGGGCTTAGAAGCATGCAAACTCGGCATCCTGCTGCCAGCCCCGGTTGGCGTCATAGCCCTGGCGGAGCAGTTCAGCACGACACCGAATCAGCAAGCGTCAAATTTGCATGTTGGTTTAGACATGACACTCGCTAAACTCGGGGGCTTGAGGCGAAAGGCCTGATGAGTCGAAACTGCCAGTTTCTGCAAGATCCAACGCTGCACCTGGCTCCTGAACATGACTCCTGCAATGAGGCATTTAAGCAAAGTTGTGGTTGTGATGGCGGTGGTGGTGGTTGTGATAGTTCGTGGTTGTGGTCCTAGTTGCGGTTGTTGGCCGTCAGCCAGCACCCTCAAGGCGCCGCTCTCACCATCGTCAGCGTCTTTCGCAGCCCCATCATCAAGACCACCCACATCATGATAGTCAGCATCTCCTTCTCGACTGCCATCATCTTTTCATTATTTTCCTTCTTCTTCTCCTCCTCCCGTCTACACCGCCGCATTCAACTACGGAGAGCACCAGCGTTCCGGCCCATGCCTTGATCGTCTCGTCATCACCGAAGATCAGGAGCAGGTTCTGTGTCAGAGCCGACCCAAACGTCCTCGACGAGGGTTTGACGATCCGATGACGGGCAAGAGAAAGGGTGGGATGGGACGCAAGGCACAGCTTCTGGCCCATGGCAGTCCGGTCCTGGCGTACTGGTCGAAGTTCAAAGACACCCCCATGCTCAGCACCGTAAGTGCACCGAGGAGGGGTGCAATAACGGCCAGCAGCCTGCTGCGCGGTGTAAGCTCTCCTTGCACTGCCTTATCTCGCAATCATCATCAGCATCAACATCATCGCCAAGTTCATGGCTTGGTCAAGCCCATGGTAGCGATTATCATCCTCATCCATCATCATCATCACCATCATCATCATCACCAGCCATCAGCATCTTCTGTCTGCCAACCTCCACAACTTGAAGACATTACCTTTGAAGGGCCTGCGCGCTACCAGAAAAATGATGTGTGCATTGGGCGAACACACTTCTTCCTCGCTCAGGTTAGTCCGAACAAAACACTAGTGACTCGGAGATTGCACGGGCTCGGACCTTAGCACAGGATGCGAACGGCAAGGCATTCAACAGCTAGCCACGTCATGCTCTGGCCATATTACGGGAGCAAGCTGATATCAAATGTTGCATTATTATGACACGCGAAGAATCAGAGCAATTCGAGTGCTAGGAGTAATGAATCAAACCAGTAGGAACCTTACAGGCAGCTGAACGAAGAATAATAGCAGATCATGGGCCCAAGAACATCACATCGCAAAGCTCTAGTTTCCCACCATCATCAACGCTCATCAGAATGTTGAACAACATGATAGCACTACTTTGAGGGGAGGATCTTCTCGCATCAGAAATAACAACGACGGTAAATTGGAAACATCGTTGAGACAATATCGGCATGAGAAGCGCAGATCAAATCCGGCACTAGTTTGTGCTTCTAGTGTCACTGCAGAGGAACTCCCACGAAGTCTGGTCCCACACCTCAACAGGAAGGATCCACACGACTCTGGGAGAATATCTGCTTCCATGGCAGGAGCTTTGGCCTCTCCGAGGCCCGAGCAACCCCACTTTAACTCTTGGTTCGTGAGTAGCCTCTTTATAATAAGGGTAACCTTTTTGTTACTATTCGGTTTTAGTAAGGGGGCCCTAAAATAAAAAGGGCAAAAGGTTACCACTCAGGGACCTAGACAGTATTCAAGCATGACAGCGGAACCCCTAACCGACGCCGCCCTCCCGGAGAGCCTCAATGCGATCATCGCGGCCCGTGCCACCGAGGTCCAGATGATGAAGACCTCTGGATGTGGAGTTGCGCGGTGGTAACAAGCTCTTGCTCTGTCGTCCCTACTGCCCGGAGCTGCTTCAGCTGCTTGGGGCAGCGGCGTGGCGGTTCACCTTCAGGAAATAGAGGACGCGGTAAAGAACCAACGCCTCACTCAAACAATCCAATGCCAGGAGGGGCTCGGGGACTTCGGCTGCTTTCAGAGCTCGGAGCGCAAGATGCGCCCTTCTTCCGTTGAACCCTGCGCTGCCCGGGACTCTTGCCGCCATCGCAGCATCCAGAGCAAGGTGCTGGTTGTAGGTTTGGGAAAGCTCTGTCGCCTAAGCGCAAGCATTGAAGAGGATGTTCCGCCACATGGCAAGGTGCCTACGAGATGGTTGCAACTTTCTTCTGGATGCAAGGTCGGCTTTCTTCCAATGCAGTCGTCAACTCAACCTGAGGAAAGTACGTCAAGGACACCATTGGAATGGTCGGCCAGATAGCTAACCGACCCGACCTGGCTTTAACACATGCCAGCGGCGGTGAACTTGGCACCGTACGAGCTTGAAACGTTAGGCCAAGGTTCGGGGCTCACACAGCAGCTGCTGGCATCCCCGGCTTCCCACACGCCGAGGTAAGCGCTCCTCCCCTGCCAAATCCGCTGAGGCGGTGGCATTGAATGTCGTGTAGCCTGAGCTGTCACGTCCGTGGAACAGAGGCGGCTCTGTTGTCAGTCTTCGGATAAGACGAAATCGAAACAGCCAAGCAACGCAGGCCAAACATAGCAAAGAACACGCTCCCGATGCTCAGGTCCACTGCGCCCTGAAGCTTTGGTCGTTTCAGCTTTGTCTACTGGAGTTCACCCTTACAAGCTTCAAAGTGAATGCCAAGTTAGCCAACTCACACGATGCCCAAATTACTATTTCCGTCGGCGCGGGCTGACGGGATGAAGAGTCAGGTGCTGTGGCTGCAGCCTGAATGGTGAAGAAGTGCTTCCACCCAGCGCCGTTGACCCTCCGCTCGTACATGAAGTCCCAATAGACCTGAATCGGCTGGCTCCGGAGTATTTGTGGATGCTCTTCATGACCTGGCCTGGAAAAGACAAATGTAGAGCACGAAGAGTGCCCTGGCAGGAAGCAGAAGGCCGTCACGTCTCAAAGTGATGGTCAAAGGACCTGCCTCACGATGTCCGAAAGTTGTGCAAAGCCGCTGCCGTACTCGATCATGCCGGGCCTTGTCAGAGCAGGAGGACAGCAGGGATTTAGATGATTGCACCTACAGTAATGTGTACCAGAACCTGAACCCTGGCATACAGAAAAACCTGCGTTAGCTTCGGCTGGCACAGTCTCCTCGTATCGACCGCAGAACATCCCAAGCTGGCTACATCTTCCGCCTGAAGGTGGAGACGTCGATCTTCGGCGTGACTGTACCGAAGCCCGTCATTTCGAAGGAGTACCTACGACTGTGTGTGTCACTTCCAATCCTCTGCAAAATGGCATATTCATGCTGCATCAGACAGGCAGGTACTTCACGTTACGGGTCATTGCAAAAGGCACCGGCCCTGGAATCTTGGCAGAGAGACGGTTTGCAGCGACCCAGGTCATAGCTCAAGATTCTTAAACTTTTTGGTTCAACCCTCGCACTGCGATCGATCCGTTGGCACCTGCTCGGAATCCAAAGGTCGTAGTTGGGGTTGTACAGCGTGAACTGCACATGGACCGCTCTTGTTTGCGTGTCCAGCCTGAATCAAGCAAGCAGAGGATTGGAGACTCAAGGATAAGGACACATTAGACAAATCCCTAAACCCTAAACCCCAAACCCAGAACCACTAGATGTTGCAAACAAACACTCTACGAAAGCAGAAGATGCTACCGGCCCTCAGTTGCAGATCTTTCGAGTCCCGGCCTAGAGTCAAAAGCCAGGAAGCAGGGGGGGGGGGGGGCGCAAATGNNTACTCTACTCTACTATACTCTACTCTACTCGACTATGCTGTGCAGACTATATGATTCTAAGTCTCAGCTACTGCAATGGGGAAAGAATCCAGATTTCATCAAAAAGGCGCATTTCCTTTTTCAAGCCCCCGGCCAGCTCTCTCGGGCCAGGAAGGCCACGTCTTCCAGGAAAGCCTGTCGAACCGTGTCTGCAGACCTCAGCGAAAAGCCAGGACATCGAAGGATTCAACGTCTAAGCCTCGGGGGAGGCTGTCCGAACATGCATCAGGCGTCTGGCGTTTCCCCGCCCCACCGCACATGGTATGGTCCCAGAGAGGGGCGGGGGCGACAGTCGCGCAATCCTCGCGACAGATGTCGTTTTCTGCACCGGACCTCGCGGTGATGTTTCCAAAGCTTGCAACAGTCACAGGGATGGGAGGGGGCTTCGAGCCGGAATGCCTTCCAGGGCCTTCCAAGACTGGATGAAGCATGGCAACAGTCAAAATGATGGCCGGTGTGCCGGGTTTGGAGGGGCCATCCTTGTGACCGTTGCCTCCGAAGTGTGAACACTGGCAGAAATCCGACGGACAGCTGATGCTTCTGGACCAGGACCGTGCGCACAGGCGGGAGAGATTCAAACGACGGAGATGTTGCCAATGATGAAAATAATGATGCCAACGACGTGTCGAATGTGCCAACAGTCAACCGAGACAGTCGAGACCCTCGTTGTCGTTTCTGGATCTTGAGGTCGTCGTTTGTGGATCTTGATATCGCCGCGGGGGCAGGGACTCGAACACACCCGCACTCACGGGAAAGGAGACAAGATCGAACAAAGCCAAACCCAAACCCACCCCGCACCCACCTCAACATCCATTCCCATTCACGCATGCTACCCAAATTGACCTTGAGGTTGCAGGACAACTTGCCCACGAAAGGATAGGGGGTTCCTTGACCTTGGAGGGGAGGGGGGCACGGCCGGGGGAGCGCGTGACCATACATGACAGCTGGGCTGCAGACGGGTGCTGCAAGCTGTACTCGACACCTCGGCCAGGCAGAAGGATCTTTAAGTCTAGTCTAGCGGTAGCTCCTGAAGAAATTGAAAGCAGTTCCGGATTTTCGAGTCACATGTGTCACATGAGTGCGCCCAACTCAAATGCGTGAACTCAACACAGGAATAGCTTCTTGATTTGTGGCGGCACAATCCAAGGATTCGGCTGTAACCCGAACCATCCACAGCGGAGAATGTCATCTGTGTGGATGCCTCTCCTGACGGAATGGGGGAGCCTCCACATCCCGTCCATGCAGGATGAGTTGCTGTTGGAAGCACAAGATGCTTGAACAGGGTGGACAGCATGGCTCTACCTTTCTTCATCAAGCTTTCACGTCGACTATCTGTCGAAGGACTCCTGGCAAGACTGTCTAAACCTGTCGAAGCATTCGCACGATTACATCGACGTTGCCAGCATGAACTCAGCTTTCCCGTATGACCCTTACTGTGCCGCCTCCTGGCGAAGCCATGCGCGACGGACCCCACTGCCATGGGCTGATCTGATGGGAGCGACCGTCCTCCAGAAACACGGCGGATCTCCTTTAGACCGGTGGATGGGGCAGCAGTACTACCGGAAGCCGCATGAAGTGTCGTGACACCCCCCGGTGACTGAAACGGCAGCAAGCGTGTGTCGAAACGAAAGAGAAATGACGCTGCACATAGCTACAAAGGAGGAAGGCCTGAATGAAAAGGTGAATCCAAGACCCTGTCCAAGCCAATCTTGCCCTGGAAGTAGGTGTAAACTTCTGCGAGGCTAGCTGTCGCCGCCTGACACAGGAGCCCATGTATGGGAATTCGATCCGGCTCTTTGCGGTGTTGATCCGACCCTTCATCCTAAATCTTCAGTTGTATCCGCCTACGGCGAGTTAGCAGTGCCACGTGAAATCTTCGGCCTTAAAGGAATTGAGTTCGACTCTGGTGCTCGGCACAGCCGCGGACACGACAGCCACAATCTGCTCTCGTGTTCTCCTATCCTAGCGTGGCGGGAACATGACCCGGTTCATGTTGCCCCCAACACTCAAACCGACATTAATGAACCTCAACCTAGCATCAGCCTCGAGGGGGTGCTTCAACAAGAGCCCGGGACTTAGTCTTCTGAGGCCCTGGCCGTGTCGTCCGTGTATGCCATGGCATAACCTGGGTAAACTTTCCAGGGCCAGGGCCCCACAAACATGCTAGGGCCTGCTAGGTCCCTATAGGTAGGCTACAGCGATTCACCCTCAAGGTCGAGCCCCCACCTTGCCCACGAGACATGGCAACATCCAAAACGCACATGATCAACGTCTCCCAGCTGCCACGATCCTCGAAAGACTAAGCCCCGAGCAGGAGACATTGGGAGGCAGCGTGAAGGATGTGTCCTGGTCAAGGTCGACTCAACAGGAACGCTTAACCATCATGGTGCGGTGCAAGCATGTCTCGTCAAAGCCCAGCAGGACTGCTGCTTGCAGAAAGCCAGAAATTCAGGGGAGGATTCAGAACTCCAAATTAAGTTGTAGAGTCGTAGAGGCTGCTTGTGAACTTCGACATCCATTCCCAACTCCCACAACTTGCCCACAACCTCGCTGCCGCAAGACTGTGCCTCCTGAGGGCACTGTGCTGCTGTTGCCGGCTGGACGTTTTGGACGAGAACCTGCGCAGTTCACCCTGCGCTGCTGTACTCGCACTTATCGCCTTGTGGGCCGTGGGCCAAAGACGGCCGAAGCTTTAGGCATCTTCGACCCTGCCTGGAGGAAGCCAACAGCATAGTTTCCGCTGCGAAGCAGAGAGTCGGCCGTAAACAGCTCGGCCTCTTACGCTCTGCAGGGAACTTTTGGATTGCAAGGTGTGAGCTCATGGATCTTGCTGATGGCTATTGCAAAACATCTGAAACCTAAACCTGAAAGTCCGAAGCATCAGCATTCAGTTTACATGTAGAACCCCTGCCGTTCAAGCTGCAAGCTGCCGGATGCTTTCGGCTGAGCATCTGGCTGCCACGGTGTCGGTCAACCTAAACGGTCCGATGATATCCCACGTGTAGCATCTGGATCAAGACCCTCTGCCCCTGAGCACCCCACCACGCCCAAACCGAACTCGGGGTTCGGATATCTTCGAAGTCTACGGTATGCACATCACCTGCCGTGATTGACCCTGGATGAAGGCAAGTTTCCAGCAGGGGAATCTCTGACTCATGAACGCATGCCGAGCGCCAAGAGCACAAGAAGAGCAAAACGAAACTCAACACCGATCCCTTGCGTCACTGCAGTGCCGGCTCGACCAGAGGTGAGAGGGAGAACAGCTCCTCGCAGCTTGGAGAGAAAGCCCGGACACTCCCTGACTCCCTGGTTCGCCGTGTCCTTCGCGGCATAAGTAGTTCACTCCGGGCGGCTGCATCAGATAGATGTCGTAGACCGCCAAGACGAGAAGAGTAAGATAGATCTCGAGCATGCGTGGCTCTTTGAAACACAATCTCCGTGTGAACTTGTTTCTGGCCTCTGCGCATGTTGCTATGGCAAACACTACGAACTTCTGCGAACTGAAGGTGCGCGCATTTGTCCATGCGCTTGCGGCTTCATGTTTGCTTCGGAACTGTACGCTGCACCGGACTGTAGCGGCCCACGGCATCCTGCCAATTAAGCAACCACTGAGGGGCCAGCGAAGATATTTCGCAGCTTCATACGCTGCAAGTGCCTCGCTGTTTCGAACTGTTTTGCTCAGCTCCGCTTTGCTTTGTAGGTCAGGTTTGCACTAAGACCTCGGCTGCTTCACGTTCCTGTCACGCTGCGTCATGAACCTTAGGGAGTGTGCCATCAAAAGTTCGCCGCAGATTCGTAAGCGAATTCCCGGGTCGCCGGGCGCAAAAAGGCCAGGAAGAAACATCATCTGCTCGGCGAGTTCCCCGCTAGAGCCTTTTGCAGGCTCGGATCCAGTCTCTTGACATGCGCTCTAACCCAAGCCGGAGGGAGCACTCGTCAGCAACGAACATGAAAATTAAACCTCGAAATCCAGGCCCTGTCATAGCAGCCCACCCCGCCGGCTCTACCTCCTGCTGCGGCGCCCTCCCCCTTGCCGGCGTCGTGGCTGGACTTGTTGGCACCTGAGCGGAAGTCGTTGCGGACTACCGCCGCCTCACTTAGAGCAGGGCTTGTGCACATACAAGCACCCTGATCCTCCGAGCCTGAGTGTGAGCCTTTGCCACAGCGCACGGTTGGAACCAGACCGGTTGAGGGAGTGTTGTGCTGCGGAATTGACGGATTTCTCGGGACCCAGAAAAACTTATTGGCATGAGCATTTGCTTGACATGTCTACAGACTTCAAGCCGATGTCCCAAAGTCTGAAAATCAAAGCCCCTTCCTCCCGTCAAATCCGCGGGTTGCCTCCTCGTCGTGCCTTCCGACCTGCAGAAAGGGCTTAGGTTTCCTGGGAGCTGAATCACCTTCAGCACGCGAGAGGACTTATCGTTTTCAATCTTGCCTTCATAAGGACAGCTAGTTTATTGCGGTCCCTGGCCCAAGCGCTCCCCGGCCTGCTTTGGGCAAGATATTGGTCAACTCCTTGTCCATCATGGACGTGTTCTTCCTGAGCACGGCATTTGGGACAAGGTAGGAAAAGGGCGCCGCATCGGCATCTCCGCGTCCTCGGGCACTTCTCTAGGCTGGCCGTTTTCTAAGCATGGTGGCCAAGCTGGATCCCTCCTCTTCGGGCTGCACCGCTCAAGCAACTCAACGTGCAGACCATCGAGAAAGGAAATCTCCCGAGCACTGTTCTGCTCCGAATTGGAGGTTGCAAGGTTAAGAGAATGTCCGGCTTCGAGATGGTTTGATGCAACGAACCCGTGCTGTACTACGCCGCTCTGCATCAGCTTTGCACCTCAGTTGCCATTCTCGTGCGGAGCCTTCGATTGCTCCTGCAGCAGCTGCCATGCCAGCGGGCTTGCCGAAACGCCCGGCAGCCTTTCTGAGAGGGCCATGCTCTGCCAGAACATTGGGGTCCACCTCCTTGATGTTTCGGACAGTCTTATTGAAGTCCGAGAGATTCTCCTGGCCCTTGATGCCGATGTTCTGCTTGCCTTTGGGGTGCCCGCGAATCTGCTCGGCATTGGTCACATTCTTGGGGCGCTCGCCGGCTTCCACCAAGCTTCGGTTGAGTCTCCCGGAGCCCTGCTGAGGCACGGTCTCGGACTTCACGTTCTTCAAAGCCTTCGCACTAGTCTCCACCTGGTAGGTTTTCATGTTCAGCTCGGGCTGCTGGGCCCGCTTCGCTTCCAAGTAGGGCTTCTGGTGCTTGGCACTCTCGCTGACCCACGTCTCGCCCATGGGACCTCGTTGGTTGTGGCCGGCAGGAAGCTCTCCACTCTTGACTGCCTGCTTGCCGACTTCTTCGGGCATGGTGCGGTACACCCTGGCAGCCGTCGCCTTCTGTGCCAGCTTGCCACCGGCATAGCCGGTGCCCTGTCAAAAAGCTGTACCTGTTCGTGGGCGCCTTCCTGTCTAACTTACGGGATGAAAGATTGCTTGCCTCGCGATTCAGTGCAGAAATGCACTCCATCGCGAGGCAAGCAATCTTTCATCCCGTAAGACAGGAAGGCGCATGAGGGACAGATGAAAAGGATCACCAGCGTCTGCCCTTCCATCAGCCATGTTCTTCACAGACTCCACCACGCCACTGGGTCGGAATTCGCCCTTGATAGCAGAATCCACGCCTGTGGTGATTCCATCCACTGCTGCACCGCCGGCTATGCCGCCGGCAACAGCACCCACCGGGCCACCCACGAAAAAAACACCCACGCCGCCGCCAATTGCACCAACTGTCCGGGAGGCTCCCTTCATGGCTCTCTCTCCACCCTCGTCGTCGCCACAGGCATAGTGAATGCCACCCTTGATGTGGCCAACTACTGGAATGCCGTCCGCCAAACTAGACATGGCCCCTCCGAATTGTGTCTGTGTTTCCGCTGCCCCTTTGGTGTCTCCTGCGATGGCCTGCACAGCCGAAGTCACTTGAGAGACGCCGGGGCACTGCCGGATGAAGTTCTGCTGGGTCCGCTCTGCACCTTTCACATCACCGGCAATGACTTGAAAGAGTGATTTCGCTTGCGACAATCCGGGAAACAAGTCCACCATGACCAGAGCCTGCAGTGAAGCAATGCGGAACCAAAATGGCTTCACGGTTTTCGTGCATCGGCAGAATCCAATCACATCCGGTGAATGGCAAAGCGAGCTTCCAAAGCCTCCGACTCGGAACTCTCTAAGAGCCCAGCGGCGTCTTCTGCACCAAACTAAAGTGAGCATCCTCGTTCTCATTGAAGCAGCTCTGGATCCTTTGGCCGTTGGCAGATTGGTGTGGAGTCTCGACCTTAAGCTATATCATGCTATATCGAAGATTGGCTCCTGCAGTTCGAGGAAAGCACTGAAATCTCTGATGTCGGCCCGTGAAGCCCAAGGCCGCATGCCTTGCTGCCCTGAGCGCTTCACGTGAGGTCGTCATGGACCTTCGCATTGCTCATGGTCTTCAGGATGAAGTCCACCTCCGAGAGGCCCCAGTACCTCGGCTCGCGCGGCTCGGGAGTTCGCAGAGTTCCGGTTTGGAAGGCGCTCGGGGTCTGACAAGCAAGCGTCCTCGCGCAAGTTCTTGGACTTCATGTCCTTGTCCTTCGCGAATCGTCAGCCGGACAGGGTTGTGGAATTGGTCCACATGGCATGGGCTAAGCCGCCGCCCTCCGCCCCTTCAAGTCCGCACTTGCAGCTCGCAGTGCTGAACTGGGGCAGCCACCACGCGGAAGCTAAGGTTGTACTTGAGCTCGGAGTTCGGAATGCAGTATGTGACCAAGACTGTATCGATGTATCTACCTGCCCGAGCAAGACGTTGGCAGCGGGCTCCACGAACAAAAAGGGTGCGAAAAAAAACACAGTAACCGCAGGAAAGGGGCTTTCCAAAGCTTGCTCCTCTGCAGACCTTGGTGCACATCGCTGTACAGGTTCCATCTATGGGATCCCGGAAACACACGGTAGCTGCGAATCCTGACATTATAGCGAAGTGTTCCGGGACCAGCCCAAAATCATTAACAACGGGCAAGCCCGCCCAACTCCTCAGTTTTCTGATCGGGGCTCAGGCGCCGAGGGATCATAGTTAGGTCAGGAACGAGGTCTAGGCTTTGCAAGCCAGTTGGGTTTTCCATCTTCGACCCAGGGCATGGAGAATGAAACCTGCTTCGAGCCTGACTTTCAGCACCTGCGCAAGAATTGCTCATTGGGGAGGTTAAGGGCCTTCAGGGTTTATATAGGGTTTAGGGTTAGGGGTTTAGGGTTTAGGGGTTAAGGGCCTTCAGGGTTTACGTAGTGGCCACATCATCGGCTATGGGAGAAGCTCCCCAAGCCCCCTGCTTTTCCACCATCAATTCGACCTCGTCGTAGATGCGAATACCCAGCCTCGGGGGCGAGGGTGCTCTATAAATTCACTTCTCCCAGCTACCAACCATAATATGATTACGAGGGATTACAGACAATTACATATTATCTGAGAATATTTAATTTTTGGTGCAATCCCGTCACTACTTGCTGGCGTGACCTTACCGGGGCGCGAGCTCGTTTTGAGTTCGGTTCCGTTGCACCTTCGCAAAGATCTGACTCCCAGCATCCTCTGACTCGAAAATACTGCGGATAATTCAAAAAGACACAGCGGTTAAAGCAGGTTCTCGCCTGCTCCTGTAATGTGGTTTCCATGAAGCGCCGCACATTGGCAGTCTGCAGCTCCATCGCCTGGCGTCGCAATGAGACTCGCGGACTATACCGAGGCGAGGCAACTCCTGCCTGCTCACGTTGGAGATCATCTTGAGTCGACACGATCTGGCAGGCAATATGCCAAACAGGATTCTGAACGCTTCCGCTTCACAATCAAACGCCTTAGGCCGCCAACAATCTACCGGCAAAGCACTCTCCGCCTCTCCTGCTCTCCTCCCCGAAGATAAGGCCAAACCCTTCGTCCTAGGTCGGCACCTCCTCGCCGCCCCTGTGGCGCCTCAAGGGGGCATCGAAAGAACGAGTGTTGCTACACCGGCAGCCAGAACAGCTTCCCAAGCGAATTGGATCGAACAAGTATGGCCTGCATGGGACGTGACAGGGAACTCAATGCAAGTGGGTCTCTAGGTCAGAAACCGTCGAAACATGTCACGATCAACTTCTGATGCTTGCCTCAATGGTACGGCATTCCATCTTGCTGCGAAACTTCCAAGCACTAGGTGCATTGTGTCTTAGTCAATGCGCTCCAACCAAGCTTTGCACTCCTTCACGTTGCTGAGAATCAAGACCCTGTTCAAGCCTCTTCTCGGCTAGGCGACGATTCTTGGCCTGCTCGTCGAGGAGATCCTGCTTACCTGAGCATCTTACCAACCGAGATTAGCCTTCGGCATTGCGAGTTTGTTGGCTAGTCGCGTGCACATCAAAGATCGCAATGCTGGACGATATTGGACCCACCTCCCTGGCCTACCTAGCTACCCTACCAGGCCCGACCATGCAGACATAACATGACACAGACACGTTATAGACACCACAGGGATGCTCCGGGCATCCGGCATCGGTCCGCCTCCTCCTTGCGAGCGGCCAGCTCATTGTTCAAAGCCTGAACCGAGGCTTCAGAGTATGGCACGTGCGACGGCCTGCAACGCCCAAGAGCCTTCCATGGATTGAGACGTCGCGGCTGGAAGCGGGGCCGAGCAGCTAGGACAAGAGTTCTCGCTATGTGTTGCGCTAGCACTCCCTGACGTCAGGTTGCGGAGCACGCCCATGCTTGAGCTCCGAAACATTTTAGTCGCGCCCCCAGAGGCCCCGAAAACCGTCTCATCCTCGGCACATCCTAAACCATTTGCATCCTCTGGGCGGGGCCTTGAGCTTCTCCTGGAGTCGCTCGACCAACTCCCGACCTCGCAGCTAGCCGTCCGCAGTCAAGTGTTGGTAAACAGTGCTCAAGCATTCTGAACTTGAGGACCATGGCATGCCATCACGTACTCGACACGCAAGGCTAAACCAGCTCGCGCCCTTTGTTCCCAAAATTGGCTCGGTCCCACACGGCGCTCACGTCTCGCCTGGAGCTGGCGGATGAGGTCTTTGCAAGCGGTGATGTCCAAACCTGATAGATCGAAGGCAACTCCAGGTCTACAAACCGAGTTTGCCCTTGTCGGAACCGACAAGCCTCTCGTCCAGAAAAGGCTTCAGGAGCCATTCCCATGCTTCGACACAAATACAAGCTGAGCTGGAGGCTATGTAAGGCATCCAACAAATCGCTGGAATCATCCGCCTTGGTCTACGCCCCGCTGCTGTGCTTGACTGCTCAAGACCATTACTAAGCCTGGCTACAAGCCCACAACCTCGGCAGCTAAAATAATGATCGACCAAGCCCGGTGGCCTAGTGCATGCAGCCTAATCCTCACTACCTGACCCTGAACCTCGACCCCTCTTCTCGGATGCCACCAAAGTGCCATGGGAGCGGAGAGGCTGTCAAATCGCAAACATTGGCATTGGAATTAACATCATCTTCTGAACTTCTTTCGGTTGCCTTCATAGCCATGGAATCACATGGGTTTGTGAGCTCATGTCTGCCCTGCTGCACGGCCCCGAAAGCTGGGTTACAAGATGCGAAGGTTTTTGGGGCACTGGGGGTCCTGAGCCTGGAGAGAGGAGCATGAAATACTCTGCCACACATGAAGACTAATGTGGCTTTCATCTCTCTCATGAACAGCTTCAATGAGCCGATAGCCGAGAGTTGCCGCAAAAATGTTCGCAGCTACATGGAAAGCTAGTCATGTCACTTCACCGGCTAGAACAACTCGTTCAACACTCTGCATGACTTGTTGAGAGCATCCAAACTCCAAACCAATGCCGAGCTTTCATAGTCCCGAGTTGCAGGATAACAGCAAACCGCCTGTTTCGGCTCATTCCTATCTTAACCTAGTTTTGACTCAACTCACCAACCTACTGCTACCATGTTTCTCAAACCTCTGAAGCCAAGAAAATAACAACGCGCTGAAAGCTGAAAGTGGCTGCATGTGGCGGTCAAAACTCAGCAGTGCAATGCTCCCAAGATCCTATTTTGTGGCTGCCCTGCCCCCTCCCCCCCCCGCCCCCGCCGCCGCTCCAAACACATGCCAGCTCATGAATGTTGAACATTGACCCAAACATGTTGCAATGCCGTGTTGCTTCTGGAAGCAGACGTTCAATTGATGCTATGGGCGAAATTCTGAAGGGCAATGAGGAGCCGACACGTCTGCGCTTTTTTCTCCACCTCCCAGCCCCACGCACACTGCATGGGGCTGCCGGCAGCAGCGAGCTTTGACAATCCCGAGTTGCGGGATGACAAAACCCCCACACAGCCGGCTGGTCAATAAACTTAGAAACCTCCTTGAGAGAACGATGAGGAGCACGCAAAGGTGCTTTGTCGCTTCGCTTCGCGGTTTGGAGGGCTTGGGTGTCAGCTACGCAGTTGGGTACAATACGAAAAATTCGCACAACGCCAAGCTCCTTTGCCCTCGGTTTGGCCTCTCTGTGCTCTGCAGAGACCCGTCGTTGCTGCCGTGCCGAAAAAACCGATGCCCGCTGTCTTGGGTTTGTTGAAGAATGACTACAGTATGTGCGACTTTCGGAGATGCAAACTCATGATTTCTTCGGCGGGCCTGCAACCTAGAAACGTATGTGGGGCTGCTGCTGGGGCGCCGACTGAAACTGTACAAGACCCACTGCTCCTCATGCCCGCGGGCGTCTTGGCCCATCTTCGGGGCTTCGACAGCTGCGTGCACTCCTTTTATTGCAGCCCTGCCGCACTGCGAGGATCTCCTGCTAGACCCTGATCCAGTTTTCGAGACTCGCAAGAACTCGATCAACTCTTGAGGAACCCCTTGTGGGTGTGCTTCAGGAATGCAGGCCACCGGGCTGGGGAACAGCTGGGCCTTCTGCCGGTGCTTGCGGCACGCAAGCAATCCCCCATTGCTGTACTCGGATCACGAGAATGTTCTAAAAGAGATTCGGGGAGGCCGATTTCAGTCTTCTGAGCTCGGCTAGCCTTCTGACCCAGGAGCGCTCCAAAAGTCAAGAGGATGCTCTCGTTTTCTGCTTTTCGAGGGAGTTGGTGAAGACTTGATGCGCTGCGATCACTCTTGAGTCAAGACTCTTGAGGGTTTGGGGTCTGCTGTAGGTGGCTGATGGCTGCAGGTGGTTCCGAAGTTTTTGGGGAACGGCCCATGCCCTCCTGAGCTGCGCCAAGCTTCGGTCTCCGAAGGCTCCAACATGCACTGTCAAGTCCGATAATATAGGGGCCTTAATAATTAGAAAAGGGTTTGGTGTATATTTTACTATAACTATAATAAGGAAACCCCAAAACCCTATTCTAATTATTTCAGGCCCCTACATTAACCACAGGCCGGAACGGCCAGCTCACTCGAGGCTGTCATCGTCGTGAAAGCGCTTTGCTGGCCTGGAAGTACCGGAGCTGGCCCGGACGGTTCAAAGCAGGCGATGCTGAACAGAGTCTGCCCTTGCCCGTGCAAAACCCACCACATCCGAACCTCGAACCTCACAGCCAAAAGGTTGCCAAGAAGCTTCAAGGCAAAAGCTTTCTTAGTGCCTCAGAACATCACGGGGTCCGCAAGCTGAGGCCGCCACTTGATAGAGGGCCGCAAGCGGAGGTAAAGCTTCTTCAGAGGCCTGGCATCATGGCAGCTGCACAGAGCAAAATTCTTCGACCCCAAAACCCTTACCCCAGTCAAGTGTCTCCGTTCTTGTGGGATCTGCGCCTACGAGGACTACTAGCTAGGGCCAAAAACAAGCCCGGAACTTGCCGCAGGGATCAATGCACGAAGGTCCGATAGCACTGGGACGGCTTCTGCCAAGGTCTGCACAGAACATATCCATGCAGCATGCGACATGCTCTTTTTGAGATCATCCTTCTGAGTACGGGGTGCTCAACCATGCAGGCCGACCATGCCAAGGTCCAGTCTCGGCAGGCCACATGCTCTCCGATTCATGTCTCTAACTACTGTAGCTTCTGAGAATCTTCTTCCCGAACGCACTGCAGGAAGTCGGTCTTAAGCCATGGGCCCATCCAATCGAACTCCTCCCAGGGCAGCTACATCGAATGGAAGACTACAGCTTCCTCGAGTCCTAGATCGAGCCGGACCCAGGACCTAGGATTTGACGTGCAAGAGCGTCGTATAGGGATGAACATATCAACGCAGAGTCGATATTGAACCTTTTGAAGCTTTGGCCCGTCGACGCACGGCAGCAAGGCTGAATGACACGTAACTCGCGAACATCTCCACCGTTCCGACGTCATCGGGACAAGGCGCAAACATCGCCAAAGTTCAAGCTGCTGACTGTCTAGCTGAGTGTGCCAAGACGGGTTGCTATGCTCCATCTAGGATGCACGACGAAGCCAACACAAGCTAAGCCTGAAGACTCCCGAAGTAAATGGGAATCCTCACACGGCTCCTTCCATCGGTAATGCTTTGGATCAAATCCCGCAGCAACTCGCATCTTCTGATACCTGAGGCACCGCTATGGTAGCTCGAAGCTGCCCGAGACTCGGATAGCTCCGGGACGCCGGGGCCCGTGCTCCTGCATCAACATGGCTGTCCACGTGTTGGCGATGACCAACCTCAGCGCTAAGTACGAGGAATGGGCCGGGCCCATCACCGAAGTTCACATCGCATTGCCCCATCCGGCCTGCCGATGTACCACAGACCGACGTTGTAGGCGAGCCTGGCATGCAAGACATCGGGACTTCTGTCAAGTCACGGGCTCCCTCGGAACATCGGCAAGATGCGTAGCCGAATTGAGTGCAACGGTGTGATGGAACTGTCGGGACCTCTCCGCCGCACAACGTGTTGAATGGCGTTGAGCCATGTTTTCGGCCATGCAACTAACCCGAACACTATGCCACTATGCTGCATGCAGGTCCTCAGCTTTGCTTTATTGCATGGTGTATTCTTCTATATGCAGACATGTCTGCTTGTGCATGGCTGCTTATCTCAGCTTCTTAGTCTGCAGTTCGTCCTACTCCCACTCCTACCCCTCCTGTTCCTCCTCCACTCCACCTCCTCCTCCTCCTCCTGCTCCTACTCCTGCAGCCGCTGCTGCTGCCATCTCTGCCAGCAGAAAGGCACGTATGAAGTACCCGATTATTCTTCCTCGTGTTCCAGCCTTTACCTACTCATATGTTCCCTCACCTGCCTGCGCCCGTTCTTCCTCCCTAATTACCCCGACCGAGGTGTGCAAGTTGCTGGGGCCATGGCTCGTAGAAACGATTGGGGTCGTACGCCTGCACTGTGGCGTTGTCCCCGAAGAAAAGGATGAGTGTCCGCGCAAAGGTGGCCCCAACGTTCCTCCACAAGCGGTCGACTTGGATTCTGGAGGTCGTCGGACTCTACAGTACTGCAGAGTTTTGGCATATGACAGGATAATTCCCCGAAGCCGACTTTCAAGTGTCCTTCTGGTTTTGGCCACCTACCTCCATCATCCGATGCCTGCTTGGCAGGAAAACAACCAAAGAAAGGGCCTCCCGCTCTCCAGGGATGCGCCGGTGACAGCCTCGGCGGGCTGGCATGAAAAACTCCCGAAGTTTGAATTCGCGATTTACAGCTGGCACTCTGGTCACGGAGATGCTCGGATGTCGAGGGCTGAGTACAAAGATCTCAGCATCTTTTCAAACACCTTCATCACTGCCTTCTACCGCCAAAACAAACGTGCTTGATGCTCAAGGTATGAGGCAGACCTGGCTGGTTTATCCAACGCTGTCAAGCCAACCAAGGCAAGGGTGCAAACTTCCAAAGACACTGGAGTCACTGGAGCTTGCCGGCTCAGGGGCCATGTGGCAAAGCACGAAGCCCACGAGGACCGGCAGCGCTAGGAGGAGAACAAGCCTTCCACGGGTTTT